TATCTATCTATCTATCTATCTATCTATCTATCTATCTATCTATCTATCTATCTATCTATCTATCTATCTATCTATCTAATCAACTGTATAAATGATATAATATAGTTAATAGAATAAGTGTCATAGCTCTATAACAGACGTGTATCCAATACTTTTTCTGAAAGCAGGATTTTTGTTAATCTAAAGACAAAGTTGTGATCTATTGATAAAGGTCATTTGTCAATGTATTCTGGGTGAGTCGAGGACACCATTTTAAAATTCGTGTGTACACAGTTGGGTGGAAACGCACAAAGATCCCCAGTCCATGTAACGGTGAGCCACCTTCTTGTGAGACTTTTAGGACCGGGATCTGCTCGGCTCCTGGATGTATGTTGGAGACGCGGGTCAGCTATCCATTTGAGAGTGATACATTTATGGGAGACCAGCCCGTCTATGTTGTTTTTTAGATTCATGTTTAATCTTCCTTCTGCCTTGGTTCCTCTGATTATCTCTATAAGGGAATGACCACGAACTGCCCCAGGCGATCCGTGGCTCTCTCCCCAGTCTTGGGGGTGGTTGTAGGAGGAGACAATGCATAGCTGAGCTTCTTCCCCTCCTCCCCCAACCACCCCACATTCTACCCCACTAGCTGCGTTTTCCAAGGGTCTCCAAGCCATGGGGACCTGTGCAGCTGGGGAGGAGAAGGGAGGGAGGGGGGAGAGAAAGGAGGAAGTGTGAGGGGGTGGTTTGTGGCATGAGCAGTGAGATCTGTGTCATTTGCCTCCTGCACGTCTAGTGGTGCTTTAGCAGAGCCAATATCCTTTTGTGCTAATAGCCCTGTCCTCATTTGCTGCCTAATTGGACTATATAAAGCCAATAACAGGCGAGCTCTTATAGCCTGAAGCCAAAGCACCACGTCTAAAGGGGGGCTGGGGGGAGGCTGCCATCGCTGCTGCTGCTCCTGCTGCATGGGGCTGGGGCTGCGCGGAGCCCTCTCCTTTGGCTGCTGCCTAATCCCATTTGCCATTGTGCGTGCCCAATCGCCGTATACGCCCTGCATTTAACTTGGATGACATTTTGATTTCATCATTAGCATCAGGCGCCAGATTGACGCAGCAGCGGCAGCCGGGCTCTGGTCCTCCTCCCCGCAGCAGCCCTCGGTCCCGGGCTCTGTGGGTCTGAGTGTCCCGCGGCTGAGCAGCCCCCCTATGCACGGAGGCGCTGCCTCCTGTCCTCGCCCAGCCGCCCGCCCCACCCCCGCCCGGATTGGGTGCCCAGCGCCTGGGCGGCTGCCGCTGCCGCTCGAGTGTAGTTAGAGGGTGGTTTATGGTCTGAGCCGCCGCTGCCCTGCCAGGGACCGGGAGGAGGATGCCTGAAACTGGACAGGAGACCCCCAGCAGCCAGCCGCCGCCGCAACCCAAGGAGTCGCCTTTTTCCATCAAGAACCTGCTCAACGGCGACCACCACAAGGCGCCTCCCAAGCAGCCCCGAGCGCTCTTCGCCCCGGCCACCAAGGGGGCTCTGGATGGAGCCGGCTTTGCCCTCTCCCAGGTGGGCGATCTCGCCTTCCCCCGCTTTGAGATCCCGGCTCAGAGGTTTGCCCTGCAAGCGCACTACTTAGAGCGGTCCCCAGCCTCCTGGTGGTACCCGTACACCTTGACCGCCGCGGGAGGCCATCTGCCCAGGCCAGAAGGTACTGAGTGAATCTGTGTGTCTATGTGTCTGTCTGTCTGTCTCACTCCGCAGGCACGGATCAGAGATGCCCAGCTGGGTTTCTCATCTCCTGGGGCAGGAGCGAGGGCTCGCTCTCCCCACGCGGTTACCCCTGAGAACAGGATGATTTGGTAACTGCTTTCGCGGCATCGTTAAGTGGCCCCCAGCAGGCTTCACCTCTGGGGGGAGGTGAAGGTGCCAGTGAGGCCCCGTGGTGAGCAGGGAGCAGCAGCTCTCTCTTCCTTGCCCTTTGTTGCTTAAGTTTGGGGGGAGGCTGGTTCCTAGGGCCTGGGTGAGTTTGCGGATGGTGATAAAGGTGCGGTGTGTTTTTGGGTTTCTTTAGCTGCAGAGAAATCTCTCCTGCGAGACTCCTCCCCGGCCTCGGGCACGGACAGAGACTCCCCGGAGCCCCTACTCAAGGCTGAGCCGGACCACAAGGAGCTTGACTCGAAAAGCCCCGACGAGATCATTCTGGAGGAGAGTGACTCGGAGGAGGTGAAGAAGGAGGAGAACGGGGAGGACTGGAAAGCCAGGGAAGACAGCCCGGAGAAAAAGCCCTGCCGAAAGAAGAAGACCCGCACGGTCTTCTCCCGGAGCCAGGTGTTCCAGCTGGAGTCCACCTTCGACATGAAGAGGTACCTGAGCAGCTCGGAGCGGGCCGGGTTGGCAGCATCTCTGCACCTGACAGAGACCCAGGTCAAGATCTGGTTTCAGAACAGAAGAAACAAGTGGAAAAGGCAGCTGGCCGCAGAGCTGGAGGCTGCCAATCTCAGCCACGCTGCCGCCCAGAGAATAGTGCGGGTGCCTATCCTGTACCATGAGAACTCCACCGCCGAGAACGGCACCTCGGCTGCCAACGTGCCCGTCAGCCAGCCCCTCTTAACATTCCCTCACCCCGTCTACTACTCCCACCCTGTAGTCACATCAGTACCACTCCTGCGACCCGTCTGAGAACTGACCCCATTCAGCTTTCTGGTGCGCCAGTGGGGAGGGGGTGGCTTAAAAAAATAAATCACCAAACCTCTAGGTCAGGAGAGAGGCCCGAGGAAACGGAGCAGCTGTAAATGATCAGTAATTTTGTAAGTACTCCAATGATTTGTGCAATTCATCAAGCGAATATTTGATGCTCTTTTTTTAATGGGTGGTTGTTAGGAGAGGGGGGGGGGACCCTAAAAATAAAACCAGAGTTGAAGTGGAAACTTGTAGAGAACACTAGAATTGTTACATCTTTTGTAAACGTGAACAAAATATTGCGCTGATCTTTGTGGCTTTAGTTTTATTTTTGTAAACAACAGTCAATAAATGATCACGGTTTACTCCTCCATGTTTGCCAAATGCTAACGGAAAATGGAATTTCTGTTCCTTCCCTTCTTTCTCAAACTTGTTAATCCTCGTGGTTCTGTTACAACTCAAAGACTCCACCAACCGTGGCTTTTAATTTAACCAGACGTTTGTACAAATTTGCCTGGTCACTTTTCCATGTTTTGTATCGTTAGGTTTCTGTGATGGGACTTTATAACTCGAAAGAAATACAGCCAAAAAGAAAATGCTTAATTATAGACACACTTTGGGTGAGCCTTATTTATTATCATTTGTTTAGATTTTAAAACAATCGATTGTGGATTATTATTATCCTTGGGTTTTTTCCCCCTTTCTTTCAAATGATATGTCAGCATTAAAAAAAACCTGTACCCTTTTGTTTTCTTTTGTAAAACAAACACACAAACAAAAAACTATTGTACTTTTGAACTGTGCAATATTGTACGACAATTCTTAAAGCACTGCTTTTATTTTAATGGCGATAAAAGGGTTTTTTTTCATTGTATAATTGCGTTCCTTTATGTAGTTAAAAGGAAGGAAGGAAAGTGAAAAGAGAGGGATAGGAGGGGGAATGAACACTAGTCCTGCTAAAATAAATAAAGAAAGAAAAGAGGTTCAGTGTGCTGAGCGCTTTAAGTGAAGGACAATCAATCTTTGAAAAATGTTAACTTATTTGCTATTATGTACAGTTTTCTTGTAGAGTCCATGGGGTGTGTGGATTTTAATAGACTGAAATCAAGTGCTGTGTGGACACCTCCATTCTCTCTGTCTTTCCTGCTGTCTGCTCACCTGTTGTAGGACAATTGTTTACTATCATCCCAAGGTGGTTTTTTGGTTTGTTTTTGTTGCCTCTCTAGTTCTGCCAGGAATCGGTCCTCTTTTTAAAACAACCAGTACTGTTATAACTGAATGTTGTGGTGGAAAAAATAAATAAAACCCGTTCCTTATCATTTTTAAGTGTGGCTTTGGAAAATGAGACAGAACAGGTGTCTTTCAAACCTTCCCTATTTCCTCCTATTGTTAGACGCACACACACACACTCCCTCCCACTGGCTCTCATTCCAGGAACTGGTGAGACAGAGGGCGCATTGTTCTACTAAATGAATAACTACTTTGCTTACTCCCGTGTTGTTATCACGGGGAGGGGTTTTCGAATTTAGCTTTTATACAAATATTGTCAGGCTCCGGGCTGCCTGCGCTATGAGCGGTCTGCCGCTGTTTATTGGCCTTGTAGGCGTATGGTAGATGGCAGGGTACCTCCAGGGGTCATAAAGCTTCCTAGAAAACAGAAGCGTGCCAGCTGCACCCGCTCCCTCTTTAACTTCAGCCCGGCAAGGTATATTTCTGGCAGAGATGATGTATGTGACTGCTGGAACTGGAGGGGTTTTTTGGAAACGTCATTCGAATCGAAGGGAGCTGCCCAGCAACACCTCCAGGGCCGGTTCCCTGGTGTTGAAATAATAATCAGAGAGCGGGACAATTCATAGCTAACACCCCCCCACAACCCCCCGCAGAGGACATTTCTCTACCAAGGGCCAGCCTGGGAGGCTTTGGTGCTTTTGACAAACATCCTGGGTCGCGGGACTAGATGAAAAGTTTCCCAGGTGGAATCAAAGCAGAGCGTTGCCCAGTGGCGGATACTCTGTTCCCCTGAGCAGCGGCTGGGGGTTTCACACAGGGCAGGGAATTGTGGCTGGGGCGGCTGCGAGAGAGCCCCCTTGCCCATGCCGTGACAGCCCTTCCCGCCTGGCTCCCACCTCCATGGACACGGAGCCCCCCCCCAAGGCGCCCAGGAGAGAAACTTGCGCTTTATTCTTGGCTTCTCCGAAACACTGGAGGCCAGACGCGCGCGCACCCCGCCTGGCTCAGCAGCACCTGCCCCCAGAATTGCTGCGTGGGGTGACTCCTGCAGCTGCAATGGTTGTAGCACGGGAGTATCCCCCCACCCCGGAGGTTATCAGCGAGGGGGTGTCAGCCTGTGGCAGGCAGCGGCAGCAGCAGCCCGGGTGCTCGGTCGGGCAGCTTTCCTCTGCAAGCCGTGCTGATCCGCTCAAACTTCCGGCTTCAGCCACGCAGCCTTGCAGCACATCCCAACTTCAGCACCGCTGCTCCGGGGCTGCTCGGGGCTTTAGCCCGTTTGCCTTGGAGCAGGCCCTGCACTCGTTCCAGAGCAGAACTTCTCAGCCTATTCCCTAGAGAGCAAAGCGAGCAGCTGCGAAAGCCAGAGCGTCCCTTCCCCTGGGCCAAGTGCTAGGGGGCAGCCCTCCCTGGCGTTGGGGCACTGCCTCTCTGCAATCCTCTGCTGTCAGCAAGTTCTGCTTGTATTCAGCAGCCTATCAGTGCTTCCTCTGGAGAAGGTCACGTTTGAAGTTCACTCCTGAGAAACGGCCCCGAATGTTTCTCTTGAGGATTTTGCTTCATCTCCTGCGCTCGGTTGGCACCGCGTGCATCGTTATTATTATTATTAGTTCAGATTGGAGAGATAGGATCGTTTCCCGTTTATAGAAAACTGCCCCGAATCAATGTGTGTGTACAGTTAGGGCAGGATTTCGCAAAAGCCCCATTGAAAAGAGATAGTCGTTCATTTTCTTTGCGTTTGGGAGCAAAAGCCTGGCATGTGTCTTGAATGAAAAATAAACAGAAATTCTCAGTCAAAATATGCTGTTCCGTGTGTCACCTACAAACAAAGTGATGCCTTTTGCTGTTTGCAATACTAACTTTGGGGCAAGTCAATAGCAGCCCATTAAAAAGCGTGTTGTAATAGCAAATACATCTTGGGATTTTACAGCGCGATGGCACGATGTTATCAAACGCCAAGAAATACTTTATTTGTGGTCAGTGCCTAGAAAACGGTTATTGACTGACCCAGTTTTCCCTAAGTCGAGAAATGACTAGTTTGTTGCAAACACAGGTCGTCCTCTGTATTTCTTTTATCTCTTCAGATCCTACACCTGCTGCGTCCATCACCACTCCAGTGGAAGCGTCACCGTGGAGTTCATACGAATATAATTGCAGCAATAAAATGACAGTCCTTGTCTAGCATGCACCAAAGCATCAAACAAGAAGGAATGAGTTTAGAAATTCACAGGCCAAAACTCCTGAACAAAAAAATTTAAAAGGGGACGACAGGTGCAGGTACATAACACTGTCTTTGCTTGCACCTTGTGGTTTAACAAGTTCCAGTTATAATCAAAAACCATTTTTCCTTTACATTTTATACTTTAAATAAACCTTCCATTGAGTGAGATTCGCAATAACGTGCCAACACCTCATCTTTCAGGCGAGCAGCTTTGTCCTTTCATCGGAGCCCATTAACCAGATTAACCCGGCTCTGGGAGGATCTTCTGGTGTGGTTAGAACATGCTGAGAGTTTAATATTCGGGCGTTTGGAAATTCACACCACAATCTTTTAAAACTAGCTTCTACTCAAAAATTACATTTACTCCAACGTTAAGGGAAGCGATTACTTTAATCGCTCTTCCGATTGAGCAAAAAAGATTCCTCTAAGTAACTTTTCCTGGTGGTTTTGAATAGTTGACAACGCTCTAGTAAAGTCCTACACTGATCTGTAAAATCTGCAAAATATACAATGGAGAAAGGCTCATGGGTAAACAAGAGGTAAAGCCCTCTTTGTTTTCGAAGCAGGGCCAAATTCTTAGAGAAAGCACGTCTCACCATTTGGCGGTGGTGGAAAGTTTCTTGGGAACTAAAAGCAAGTACTGCACTTTAAAGGATTTAAAACAATCACTTTGCAAATAAACTGGCCAGTAGTAAGAGGCAGGGCTGTTTGGTCCCAGGGTTTATGCAATTCAAAGAAAGTTGCTTCATTTCTTAATCTGTAGCAACTATATCACCACTTCTGTTTATTGCAACAGCTGTGCTCTGCAAATCTGTGCCTTTGTTTGCAATTAAAGAGATACATAGTTCTTCATATCCACTGTTTTGAGCGTGGCTGAACAGAACTAGCTTTAGTGTTTGTATTAGAAACATACATGTATTTCTTTTATTTGGTAGTAAATAGAGACTTTCTGTGTATAGCAAACAGCAGAGAGAAAGATATAAACTTCTCAACCACCAGATTATTGGATTCAGAAGTCTTTTGCCTCTTGAGAATTGAAGTTGAGATTAGAATCCAGACCAGGCTGCGCAAGCGATTGATCGGTGCCCATCTCCAAGCAACTGTAGACTTCTATTGAAGAAGTTTAAGAGGTTGGTATTTTTTTGCTGCAAATTATGTAATGCATGCTATCTGGTAATGTTCCCTTCTGCTGGAAACAGGCATGCCATAAAGGTAATATGATGAAGATGCAGAGGTAAGAATGTTGAATCAGATTATAGAGGAAGAGGGCTGTAAAACAAATACACCTATTCTCAGCTCCGAATGAACTATTCATCTTTAAAATAATGGTGGGGGATACATGTTTTTTTTTCCAAATATGCTGCAAGTGCTCTGTAATAATCACTTTACTCTATCGACTTAGTATAGTG